ACCATCTTTTATTTCTCCAATGATGAGGTTTTTCGGATGACTGGATTTATGTTTCCAGTTTCTGTCAAATCTTTCCTTCTGAATATCTGCAGACTATGAAGGTTCTGATTGAGTCTGGATTATATCTTCTTTTCCTTCTTCTATGGATTCGACGATCTTTGGAGATTCTTGTTGAGCTTCTGATAATTCTTGAATGATGGGAGAAGGTTCAGATTCATCTTTGTGAGTCTGAATATTTTCATCAAACCTTACATTCATTGTTTCTTCCACAGTCTGAGAATTCTTGTTGAAGACTCTGTATGCCTTACTTGTAGTTGAATATCTAAGGAAAAATCATTCATCTGCTTTCTCATCAAACTTAACAGGGCGATCATTTGGATTTTTGAGAATAAAGCATTTACAATCAAACACACAAAAATATGAAATATTGGGCTTTCTACCTTTGTAAAGCTCATAAGGGGTTTTCTCAAGAATGGGTCTGAGAAAAGCTCTGTTAATGATATAACATGCTGTAAAAACTGCATCTGCCCAGAAATGAAAAGGAATCTTGCTTTCAATTAACAAAGTTCTTGCCATTTCTTGCAAAGAACGATTTTTCCTTTTCACAACACCATTTTGTTCTCGTGTATAAGGAGTAGAAAAATTATGTTGAAAATCATTTTCCTCACAGAATTCTGAAAAACTTTGATTTTCAAATTCTCCCTCATGATCAGTTTTAATGCAGGAAATGGTATAGCCCTTTTCATTCTGAATTCTTTTTGCAAATTTTGAAAAATATGAAAATGCTTCATTTTTATGAGCAAGGAAGAACACCCAAGTAAATCTTGTGAAGTCATCAACAATAACTAAACAATACTTCTTACCACCAATACTTTGAGTTCTGGTTGGACCAAATAGATCCATATGAAGAAGCTGCAAAGCACGATTAGTGGAAACATGATGTATAGATTTAAAAGAACTTCTTACTTGTTTTCCTAGAGTGCAGGCATTGCATAACTCTGTTTTCTTGTATTTCAAATCTGGCAGACCTCGAACCAGTTTCTTGTTTGAGATCTTTGAGATTTGTTTCATACTGATATGCCCCAATCTTCTGTGCCATAGATCTTCATCTTCTTTGATTGAAATCAAGCAATGAGTGGAATTTGGATTGACATCTAGAAGATAAATATTGCCATGTCTTCTTCCTGTGAATGTTTGAGAAGAATCTTTGCTTGTTCCTGAGCATGTATCTTCTTGAAAGTTGATTCTGAAACTTGTATCACATAGTTGGCTTATGCTGATCAGGTTGTAGTTGAGTCCTTTTACTAATGAAACATCATTGATTGTGAGTCCTCCAATTTCAACCGTTCATTTGCCAATTATTTTTCCTTTGTTATTTCCTCCAAAGGAAACTTTTCCACCATTCAAGTTTTGTAGTTCAACAAATATGCTCGGATCTCCTATCATATGTCTAGAACATCCACTGTTTAGGTACTACTTTCTTTTTCTCTTCGTGGCAACCTGCAAAAATTACAACATCTCAAGTTTTCTTTGGTACCCAAATTGTTTGGGTCCTTAAGGATTAGTATAGGCTGTCTTAACAAAGTCTCTTCGAACAGGTCTCCAGATCTTAGAACATTCATTCTCAAAATGTTGTGGATCTCCATATTTTGAGCACTTAAGAGCACTTCGGCCAACAAGTTTAACAAAATTTCTTTTGAAATGATTTTTATAAGCTTGTCGAGGAGGTCTTTGTCTTAATCTCTCCTTGACCTTTGCAAAATCAATCAAGCTATCACTTTCCTTCACAAATCCGAGACCAGATTTGTTATAGTAAGGAATTTGGATAGAAAGGATATGCTTCAAGGTTTCGAACCTTTTGAAAACTTGGAAGCAATTTCGAAACTTCCTTTTTCAAAACAGCATTTTTTTGGAAAGAAAATCTCGACTTTCTTGATTTGATGAAATTCTTTTGAAGAAATCGATTTTTCTTTTTGAAACATCCTTGCCTCGTGATGAACTTTCGTTTTCAAAGAAGAGATTCTTTTAGTTTAAATTCAAAGCATAAATCATCAATATAATTTGATACTTCAATAGGAAATCGAATTTTTTCTGTTTGGTTTGATTTCAAAGGCTGGGCTCTAAAGGTCCTGGCAAATGCAAAGTTGTTTGGTAATTTTTCAAGAAACATTTCATGAATGCACCTCCGAGGTCCCTGGAAATTGCATTTTGAATGCAAGTGAATTTTCCTTTTTCAAAGAAGAGATTCTTTTAAGAAGCGAGGCCTGTCTTAAATTCAAAGCATAATTCATCAATATAATTTGATACTTCAATAGGCAGGGTCGCGCGGAATGCTTTACCTCAATTTTCACTTTAGCCGGATCGGAAATCGCCGTCAGCAAAAATTTTTAAAAATATTAGCAAAGTCCTTTACAAATTAAGATTTTACCAAATATAGACCAAAGTTATTTTCAAATGTGATTTTAAAAGACAGTTACCAAACACTACTTGCATTTGAAACCCTTTAACTCAAAGGTATTTGCATTTTGCCAAATGCATTCCCCAAGCCGACAAAGCTTAGCCATTAGACGAAATTAGAGATATCTTCATCACTGTCTTCGCACTTTGTGTCACTTCAGGTTTCTGCTTTTAAGGCCTTCTTTGCTTTCTCAAATTTGGTCTTCTTTTTCAGAAGTGGACAATTTGGCTTGATATGTCCACGTTTCTTACAGTGAAAGCATATAACATCCTTTGATCTCTCTGTTTCATCGAAAGACTTCTTCTTCTCAAAAGGCTTCTTCCCTTTGAGGTTTCTTCCTCTGATCTTCATCTTCTTATACTTCTTTATGAAGAGAGTTAGTTCTTCATTGTCAACATCTTCATCTTCAGAATCTGCATCAGAATCAATGTTAGTTTTTAATGCAATTGACTTATTACCTCTGGATTCATTCTCCTCATTCCGATGCTCAATCTCATATGATTGAAGAGTTCCAATCAACTCATTTACTGATAGAGGCTTGATCCTTTGTGTCTTTCGAAGAAATGTTTTGATATTATCCCACTTCATTGTCAGTCCTCTCAGTAGTTTGTTGACTTTCATTGCATCTGGGACTGGTTGTCCTTGATATGCAAGACCGTTTACTATGTCAGTAAACCTGTCATACATATCAGCAATTGATTCTTCAGGCTTCATTTTGAAGGATTCATATTGACCAAGCAAAAGATTGATTTGAGTTTCCTTGGCTCGATCTGTTCCTTCATAAGTAATGTGGAGCGTATCCCAGATTTCCTTAGCTGATTCACAAGCAGCAATTTTTTTTATATTCAATAGGAGATAAGGCACAATATAAAGAATAAATTGCTTTGGAATCTAAGGTTTCTCTTTTGGATATCTCAGTCTGAGATAATGGAGGATCTGTTGCTTTGCTAGCATCTGCCTTTTATTTTGAATCAGAAGATTTTGGATTGATTCCTCTGATGATGACATCCCATTGCATGTGATCAATTGACTTTATGAATGCCTTCATCTTATTTTTCCAGACACTATATTCCTTGCCATCGAAATATGGTGGTTTGTTGTTGCTTTGTCCTTCAATGAGCCCTGGAGCACCAAAGCTAGCCATGTAGATCGTTAGCTCAGAAGTAAAACACTTCAATAAATGAGCAACCTGCTCTGATACCAATTGATGTAGCTAGCAAGGATCACCTAGAGGGGGGTGAATAGGTGATCTTAAACAATTTTTGATAATTTCTGCGGAAACAAAACAAATCACAGAAGAGTCTAAATAAAATTCAGATTCAAGACAGATTGTATAGACGGTGCTCTTGATGTGCAGAATGTAAAGTAAGAGATAATGGATAGAGAATCTGCACACAAGTTTATAGTGGTTCGGCTTATGGCAAGCCTACGTCCACTCTCCCACGCTGACAGCCCACCGGCTAGATTTCACTATGTAATCAAGAGGAATTACAACTTCTGAGTGTTAGCACTCTTGTGTATGATAGGACCCTCTATCTCACACAATCACTCTTACAAAGTGTCCCTCAAGATCTTAATGTTTGGCTCAGAAAGACAAGAGAAATGATCGAAATATGCTCAGACTTTGGACTTGATGATTCTTGATTTTGTTCTCTCTTCTGCTGCTCGTTGATCTCCTTAAATACTCCTCTACTTCCAAACTAGCCGTTGGACAGCTTTCAGAGGATCATCTTCCAATCTTCACGTTGAACAGATTTGTATAGAAAGGATTGAGTAGCCGTTGGATGATAGATTCTGAATCCCGCTGATTCTGGTTGCCCATACAATCAGAATCTTGGTTTCCATAAGTAGAGCTTTATCCGTTGTAATGCATACTTGTCGTAGTATTTGATTGTCAATCAATTATAGCCTTAGATTGAAACAATCAAAACTTTCCTTCTGTGAAATCCATACCGATCACTAGCCGTTGTTTTTTGTTACGAGTTACGCATCGAAGAATTTCGTATGCAAGGTCGCTTCGAAAAATTTCAGCTTCTGCATCTGCTTCTGAAAACTCCTCCGTCTGCGTCTGAATAATTTCAGCGTCTGAGTCTCAGAACTTAGATTATGTGGGTCTTCAATAATGTATTTACCAGCTTGTAAAGTCTGAAAAACTTCCTTCTGAACTTCCAGAATATACATACCTGGAATAAATTAGTTCAGAATAAGTATCAGATTTACAATAACATGGAAGGTTTTGTCAACTTCAAAATCAATAGGAGTTTTCCTCAACAAGGCTCTCTGATCTCTCTCTTTCTCTCTCTCACTATCATGTGTACAAGAGTAGCGAACTTGGGTTCGGATTTGTCCATACATGTTAGGCTCTCTGATCTCTCTCTTTCTCTCTCTCACTATCATGTGTATCAGAGTAGCGAACTTGGGTTCGGATTTGAAGTGAAATCGGGCTGCTTTCGTAAAGTCGCATAGATTTTTCAATCGCCGGAAGGTACAGATGGTACAATCACTCTCCACTCATCCTCAATCCTCAAGTAGGTTAACGTCTCTAGTGCCTCAACCCGAGCAAGAAAGGGAAGCCAGTGGCGTTCAACCACAGATCTCCCGAAAGGAACGGACCGGCGGTGAAAGCCAGAGCCTCCTTCCTGCTGATGACCCTGACATTCTTCCACTTGACCCTGCCGTCGGTCCGGGCCCCGAGCCCGCAGTTGCCGTACTCGAAGTAGTTGCACGTGTCGTCGTGGCCCCACGATTGGTACCCAGCTGGCTGGATGAAGTCACCGAGGGTCGACTCCATGAACACGGTCTGGGCATACGGCCTCCAGGGGCGGCCGAGGTACGTCTTGATGGCGAACCGCTCGGGGAAGAGCTTCTTCTCAGGGACGATCCTGCAGTTGTGGATGACGAGCCCCGAGGTCTCGAACCGTACGTCACGGCCGTGGGCGGTGATGGTGTTGGCCTGGCCGGGGCCGGGCTTGCAGGCGATGATGAGGGAGTTCTGGATGACGGTTGACGAGTCGCCGAAGATGAAGTCGACGGTGCCGGAGATGACGCAGTTGCGGTAGAACTGGCGGTGGACCTGGACATAGAGGGTGTCTTGGTACCCGTCCATGCGGCAGCTGAAGAAGGCGGACATGTCGGACTGGACGCACAGCCCCACAGCCTGCCCGCCCTCGTAGCCCGCCGTGTTCTGGAATCCCGTCTTCTTGCAAAGGAATCCGGTTCCAATGGCAGCTGCATCAAATTGTTCAATTCATTAAAAATTTCGTCTTTTATCATATGCCCATGTTTCCGAGAGATATGGAACAAGGCTTTGATTTGATTTAGTTGTGTGTTTTGTGGAAAGAAAACTCACAAAAGGTGGCGCTTTGCCATGTGGAATAGCCAGCACGATTGTTCTTGTGACCGGTCACAAGGGTCTTCCTCGATCCGTCTCCGTACATGAACACATTCACTTGGTGCTTGTCCACCGTGATGTACCCGTCATACACCCCGGCCTTCACGTAGATCACGTACCTCCCTTGGTTCCCCTTGGGGTAAGCCGCAAGTGCCGCCGCGATCGTGCTGAACTGTCCGCTCCCATCCTTGGCCACCGTCGCGTTGGGCTGGATGTTCCCGTTGTCAACCTTCGCCAACAGCTTCCTGTCGGAGGCCGAAAACCACGAAGGATATTTCCCACCCTGGTCCATACTCGGCAGCCTGCGGGAGTTGGGAGTGAGGTTTAGCTTGTTGTTGAAGGCGGCGAGGACTTGGGATATCTACGAGGCGATCGCGAGCGCATTGCTCGTGAGCTGAGTCGCGTTCTGGAGGTTGTTTTGCAAGTCGGCCTTGAGCTTCGCGTCTTCGACGCCGTCCAGGCACGACTGCTGGTACGACACGACAGCGTTGAGCCAGTTCTGTATCTCGGCGACACGGTCGTTCACAGTGTGGAGGTCGCTGTCGCCAACGAAGGAAAAAGCGGCCTGGAGCTCATCGACGGCGAACTGATACAGGTCCTTGCAGTCATCCAGCGACATCTTGACCCTGGCATCCGTGACGTTGGCATTGGCGGCCAGAGACACGGAGAAGTTGAAGGAGCCATTCATCTCCTCGAGGGTGGCGAGCACTGCGGCTTTGATGAGCTCCTTAGGGTCGGCGGTGGCATTTGCCGCGTACGTGCCCAGGGTCTTCATGCATAGCTCCTTGTGATCGGTCGGCGCACAGATGGTGGAAACCGCCTTCATCTGCAGTGTCAACGTCTCGCCAGAGTCGCCGGAGGACCCGAACTTGTGGACTCCTGCGACGACACCGATGACGACGCCGACGACGAGGATGATCGAAATACCCGACACAACCACTTTACCTACCATCTTTGCGGTGTTCTTTACCGGCCACGTGCCACCTCCGTTTTCCTCTCGGTTGGGACGTTCGATGGAAACCGGACATTGGCCGGAGAATAGTAAGAAAGAAGGATTACGGAAAGAGAAATGGATTATCTCTCTCTTATCTAAAAACTAAGGGGATTGAGGCGATGCATGGGAGTTTTATACTGCATGGGGTTCCCTAAAATTAAGGTTTTTCTATTCTTCAATCAAATGAGCTGGGGTGCTAATCTTCATGATTAGATGGTTGAGCGGCATTTAGGCCAACGACTGGGGCTTCCTGGCCATGGGTTTAAGGACCAGAAGCGTTGGCAATAAATGAGGTGTCGTGAAGGGATAAGCCTAAAAGACTAAGTAATTAAGTGACAATCTGAAATCTACTACGAGAATAACAGCGTCTACTTAACTACAAAAAAATAACAAATAGTTATAAATTATTATGGGGGTCTACTTTTTCAAGAATTTATAGCTCATAACACGATGTTACTATCACAATGACTCAAATACTGTTATGCCAGCAAAACCCGTCGTTTACTTTTGTGCCGGAATATAAGGAAATTTAGCATTAATAGTTCTAAGATGGCGGGGAAATTCATAAGATAACCTTGAGCTCCGAAGAGATTAAAACATATTATATTTGTCATATCATAGATCAATTTGGTTCGTTTACTTCCCCAAAAAAAAGGAAAAAAAAAGACAAGTTCATGAGGAAATAGCTGACTCGATAGAATTTTATTTCGCAAGCTCGAATTGAATCGATATGATATGTTTGATAAGCGCTGGTCCATTTAGATTCAGTTTTGGTCATGATAACATCACAATTAGCTCAAGTTGACGTCGAACTTATATCTTAATACTTCTTTCTTTGGGTCGAATATCTTAATACAGAGCAACGGTGCTGAAAAACCTAGCAAATCTTTAAAAAAGAAGAAGATGAACTTGGATTCGGATTGAAGGACGAAGCCTGTAAACTTTGTCAGGCGATCTCTCTCTCTCTCTCTCTCTCTCTCTCTCTCTCTCTCTCTCTCTCTCTCTCTCTCTCTCTCTATATATATATATATATATATATATATATCACGTAGCACGTTTTAGGTTTCCAACGAATCATGGCCGTGCAAGAGAGATATGTATACGTATAATAGAGTAGCAAACTTGGATTGGGATTTAAGTAAATTCGGGCTCTTTTTCGTGAATTTCACATGGATTCCTCAATAGCCGAAGGTACAAATGGTACAATCACTCTTCACTCATCCTCAATCCTCAGTGGGTTCATGTCTCTAGTGCCTCAACCCAAGCATGAATGGGAAGCCGGTGTACTTCAACCACAGATTGCCCGAAAGGAGCGGGCCCGCGGTGTAAGCCAGAGCCTCCTTCCTGCTGATGACCCGGACGCCCTTCCACTTGACCCTGCCGTTGGTGCGGGCCCCGACACCGCGGTTGCCGTACTCCGCATAGGTGCACGTGTTGTCACCGTTCCACGAGAGGTACCCAGCGGGCTGGATGAAGTCGCCGAGGGTCGACTCCATGAACACGGTCCGGGCGTACTGCTTCCAGGGGCGGCCGAGGTACGTCTTGATGGCGAACCGCTGGGGGAAGAGCTTCGTCTCGGGGACGATCCTGCAGTTGTGGAGGACAAGCGCCGTGGTCTCGAACCGCTCCTCGCGGCCCTGGGCGGTGATGGTGTTGAGCTGGCCAGGGCCAGGCTTGCGGGCGATGATGAGGGAGTTCTGGATGACGGTCGACGAGTCGCCGAAGATGAAGTCGACGGTGCCGGAGATGACGCAGTTGCGGTAGAACTGGCGGTGGGTCTGGACGTAGAGGGTGTCTTGGTACCCGTCCATGCGGCAATTGAAGAAGGCGGACATGTCGGACTGGACGCGCAGCGCCACGGCCTGCTCGCCCCTGTAGCCCGCGGTGTTCTGGAATCCCATGGACTTGCAGAGGAATCCGTTACCAATGGCAGCTGCATTGAATTTGTTCAATTCATTAAAAATTTTGTCTTTCATCATATGCTCGTGTTCCCGGTATGGAACGAGGCTTTGATTAATTTGATTTGGTTTTTTTGTGTGCTGTGGAAAGAAAACTCACAGAAGGTGGCGCTTTGCCATGTGGAAATGCCGGCAATAGCCTTGTTCTTGTGACCGGTCACAATGGTCCTCCTGGGTCCATCTCCGTACATGAACACATTCACTTGGTCCTTGTCCACCGTGATGTACTCATCATACACCCCGGCCTTCACGTAGATCACGTACCTCCCTCGGTGCCCCTTGGGGTACGCTGCCAGTGCCGCCGCGATCGTCCTGAACCGCCCGCTCCCGTCCTTGGCCACCACTGCGTTCGGCTGGATCCTTCCGTTGTCCACCTTCGCCAACAGCTTCCTGTCCGCGGCCGAGAACCACGAAGGATAATTCCCACCCTGGTCCATGCTCAGCAACCTGCGGGAGTTGGAGGGGAGGTTTAGCTTGATGTTGAAGGCGGCGAGGACTTGGGATATCTCCGAGACGATCGCGAGTGCGTTGCTCGTGAGCTCAGTCGCGTTCTGGAGGTTGTTTTGCATGTCAACCTTGAGCTTCGGGTCATCGACGCCGTCCAGGCAGGACTGCTGGTAAGACACGACGGCGTTGAGCCAGTTCTGTATCTCAGCAACACGGTCATTCATGGTGTGGAGATCGCTGTCACCAACGAAGGAAGAAGCGGCCTGGAGCTCGTCGATGGCGAACTGATACAGGTCCTTGCAGTCATCCAGCGACATCTTGACCCTGGCTTCGGTGGCATTGGCGGCCAGAGACTCGGAGAAGTTGAACGAGCCCTTCATCTCGTTGAGGGTGGCGAGCACTGCCGCTTTGATGAGCTCCTTAGGGTTGGTGGTGCCGTTTGCGGCGTACGTGCTCAGGCTCTTCATGCAGAGCTCCTTGTGATCGGTCGGTGCGCAGATGGTGGAAACCGCCTTCATCTGCGGCGACAACTTCTCGCCAGAGTCACCATCGGACCCAAACTTATGGACTCCTGCGACGACGCCGATGACAACACCGACGACGAGGATGATCGAAATACCCGATACAACTACTTTACCTAACATTTTTGCTGTAATTTTTTCCCCCCTTCTTTGTGGAGATTACTCAGGGTCTCCCCTCCGGCCGAGCTAAGTGCGCACGTCGCCCGTGCCGCGTCCCTTTTCCTCTCTGTCAGGATGTTTAAAGGAAACCGGAGGTTAATCAGGGAAGAGTTAGAAAGGATTATCGAAAGAGAGATGGATTATCTCTCTCTACCATCTGCGCATTAAGATGGTTCAGGCCATGCATGGGAGTTTTATACTGCATGGGGTTTCCTAAAATTAGGGTTTTTGCTTTCCTTCAATTAAAATGTGCTGTTGTGCTAATCATCATGATTAGATGGTTGAGCGGTGTTTAAGCCAACGACTGGGGCGTCCTGGCCATGGATTTTAGGACGAGAAGCGTTTGCTATATAAATGAGGTGTTGCGAAGAGATAAACCCTAAAATAGCAGAAAACAGTTCATGCAGATATCCGATTAGCAATGACGCTTCTTTGTCGGAATAAGCTCTTTTTGCTGTTTACATTTGTGTCGAAATATAGGGAAATTCAGCAATAATGATTCCGAGGTGGTGGGGAAATTCGTCAGATGACATCGAGCTCCGATGAGGCCGAAGTTACAATCGAAACATATTTTGTTTATCACGTCCAGAGATCAATCCGGTTCATTTTCTTCCGGGAGAAACAAGCTTTTTTTTTCGAAATAGCTGCTTCGACAGAATTATGTTTTGTAAGCTGGAATTGAATCGAGATGATATGTTTGATAAGTGTTAATTTATTTACATTAAGTTGATTTCAAACTTATTTCTTAATTCTTAGCATGATGCTAAAGAGCCTAGCAAAATATTAAAAAAAAAAAGGCTGAAGAAAATATTGACTTTTGAACTTGAGTTTCCTTCATAATAATTACTATAGAGTTTTCGAGTCGTTCTTAAATAATTTGACTCGTTTCAAAACGTGTGATGAAATAAAAGAATCTATTAAAAAACACGACAAAAACATCAGACCATGTCATATAAAATCTAAATCAAGAGTGTGTTCCAGGCAAGATAATCATCCATTTCTAGTCGTTCTTAAAAAACTGATTTCGAGTTTTTTTGGGGGTGATTTTTCGCTCTTAATTTATACCTTTTTTGTTAAATTAACGTTGAAAACCATAAACCCTAAAGGAGGACAGATGGGGAGAGAGAGAGAGAGGCGGAGGACGGCGGCCATTGCGGTGCCAAGCATAGGCCAGGGTTTGGCATTCTTCGTCGGGCTCCGACGGACTAGCTGTACCAAACCAGCACGCGTAGAGAGAGAGAGAGAGAGAGAGAGAGAGAGAGAGAGAGAGAGAGAGAGAGAGAGAGAGAGAGAGAGAGGTGGGTGTGTTGAGAATGTTCCCAACTCACAATATGGATTCGAAAGATAGGTCTGCGTTGAAAGAGCATTCACGCTGCGGAGCTTGGTGAAGGTGATGAAGGTGCGCCAATGGAGGGTCAGATGACCAAGGAGAGAGGAGATGGACGTGGTGATGATGGCAAAGAGTCTCCTGGGTTTTACCTTCTCCTGTTTGTGGATCCTCAACTCCTTGTGCTCCCTCCCATGCTAAGATTTATCATTTATCATCTCTTGAGAGGCCTTGAAGGCATGCGCTTGAACGCTCCCGAACTCCATAAAATGATGGATTTCTCGGCAATTGAGAGCCTAAAAACTTCAGGCTCTCCAACTTTCAGAGCAGAAAAGCTTTCAAATCCATCTCCCTTTTCTCATGACTGCACTCCCCACGGATCCAGCACCGCGATAACGTCCGGCTCTCTCTCTCTCTCTCTCTGGGTGTGATTTGTGCCGGTGGCTCTTGCTCATCCTTTCGAGCTCAGCGACGGACACCGAACCCTGGCCGGTGACCTCCCCCTCTACCTCTCTCTCTGGCTGTGGTTTTTCAAATTTGACATTCTGTTTCTTAATTTCATGTACTAATTTGTAGACGAAAAAATCCCGACGTTTCGTGCAAAATCTTGTCCGGGTCGATTCAACCACGGAACGAGACCAGCCTGACCTGACGGATTCAAGACCGGATCTTCCTAAAGCCGGTCTTGCATATCGATCCAACTCAGGAGAATGGAACCCATGACCTCCAACTTGAAATAAACACGCATGACCACTAAACTAACAAAACTTCGCTAATAATAAGCTTCAGAAAACAATATATAATATCAATCATGCGAATTTTATAAAGCAAACCTGATCCCTAAGTTGAGCCTGAAATCGAAAATATAACCCAGCTTGGTTTCCAATGCCAATTTTTTCAGAATTGGAACCTATGAAAAAAATTTCAAATTTCGATCTCGTATGTTGACCCATCCTGAAATCAGTCAACCCTATATGTGTGGTCATATGACTCCGTCATCCAATTTTATAGTGTTGATTGGATGTGTAAGACATTTTTGATGTTAGCCATTTGCAAGTCATTAATTTAGACACAGTAACAGAGGTGGTTTGTATAAAAGAGAATTATTATGGATTGTATACCATGTAAAACTACAAATATTGAATTCTAAAATTTTGCATCAATAATTTTCATATTTAAGTAGCCTATTTAATTGGATGAAACCAGGCATCGTAGTTGCAGTAAAATTCTGCGTTTTACCAAACAAAGAATGAATATGCGAATCGAATCAAATCAGACATAAATTAATATATAGTAGCTGACTAGAGTTAACCTTCATAGGTAGACTGAACAGCAAAACATCGCAACACTTTATCCTTATGCGTGAACAATGCGATTTGCTTATATATGTAAAATCAATCGGCTCATAATGTTCGAATATCGAGTTATAAAAAATTAAATTTATTACCTCAGCTGAGCACTTGTGATTTAAGTGGGAGGCCATGGCGGTGGGTTGCTATGTTAGTCTCCCCCGAGGAATAGTCGAGGTGCGCGCAAGCTGGCCCGGACACCTCGGTTACCAAAAAAAAAAAAAAATTTAAGTTTATTATTTAAAGTAAAGAAGATTTTCTACTTCTAAGGAATCTCAATCATTTTTTCTCCAAATGATGTCAATGATTACTTATTATATATATTAGAATCATGGTCAAACGTGTAAATTTAATACTTCTTTATAATCTCTAATGTTCTAATTAAAACATCCATTTTGTATCCGAAAAAAATAACAAAAAAATGTTTCAAATCTTGAAATATATGGCTTTTCACGTGTACCTTTATGTTTTCTAAATAATTTCTCCATCATTTAACCAGCCAAATATTAAGAAGGGAAAAAACCATCAAAAACCCAAAATTATGTCGACTGTGATACATTGACTATAAAATTTCTTTTGTGACATAAAAAACCCAAACTATAACTACTGTGACACATTTACCTTATACTTTTTTCTTGTGAATCAAAAACCCCAAAGGTGTGCCTACATGACACATTTACCCTCCATCAAGATCCTATCACTTAATTTTTCAGCCAAAACAACGTTGTTTTTGTTTCACTTGAGTTGCATAAGAGCCATTGTCAACATAGTTTACCTTGAGTTTTAACGGTGCTCATTGACTGAATATTAATGTAGGGTATATGTGTCACACAAATTCACGTTGAAATTTTTTGATGTCATAAAAAAAGTTTATAGTAAATATGTCAGAGTGTGCTTGGTTTGAGGGTTTTAGAGGCTTTTTCCCTATTAAGGCTACGTTTGTTTCGCTTAAACATATTTCTCCTTTTCTGGCGTTTGAATCACTTGGAAAAATGAATCAGCGGAAAATATTTTCCCAGTCAACGGAATATTTGTACTTAAATTTAGGAAAATGATTTCCTCTTTTAAAAATCGAAAATCATTTTTCAAAATATGACTAGAATTAATATTTGAACTAGAAACTCTACATTTGAACACAAAAAACCCCAACACTTGATCTTGGGCCCTTGACACCTCAAGATAGGGCCAGGGTCCATCGAGGCCAAGCCTAGATATATACGGAACCTTGGTACCCGAGCCCAAGACCACAGAGGTTGGGCTTGGAACACCAGAGCCCATGGTCGGGCTTAGGACTCCAGTATAGTTGCCCAACTCCCCGATGCCCCAACTCGGGTCCACAAAGGTTGGGCCCGAGACCTTGGTGCTTGTGCCCGGATCTCTAACATGAGACCCCGTGCTTGGGACTAGGTCCATCAAGGTCGAATTGTGACCTTGGTGCCGATGCCTGGGTCCCTAGGCTCGTGTCAATCGAGACCATGCCTCGGACCTCAGCGCTCAGGCCTAGGTCTATCGAGGATGGGCCCAGGTCCCCGGCACTCGTGCATGGGCCCAAGACCTCAATGCTCATGATCGGGACCAGGCGCAAAGCCTGAGATGGTGTCCTTGCCCGAGTCCTTAGGTCCCGAGTCCATTGAGGCTGGGTTAAGACGCCGTCGCCCGCTTGGGTCAACCAAGGCTAGGTTTGAGACCTCGACTCTCGCGCTAGGTCCATCAAGGTTGGGCTTGTGTCCATCGAGGTCTGGCCTGGGACCTCAATGCCTAAGCACGGGCCTACACCCGTGCCCAAGTCTATCAAGACCAGGATCGGGACTCCAAAGCCTATGGCTTGGTTCCCGGAGCCCAAGTTCATTGAGGCTAGGCCTACGTTGGGGTTCATAGAGGCCGGACTCGAGATCCTACTATTTGTATCTGATTTCCCGATTGTTTATGCACAAGTTATCAGCGCCCGAATAATATATATCTATTCAAAAAAAGCAAATAAGATTTTCCTTGCCAAACGATGGAAAATATGGTCAAGTTCATTTTCAGGTTTCATCCAAACATTGAAAAATATGGAAAATTTTTGGTACCCAAAGTGAGGCCTTTTATCAATTTGGTACCCAAAGTGGATATAATCATATCTATTTCAAAGTAAAAAAAGCCAAATAAGATTTTTGCCCATTCAGTTCCAAACGATGGAAAATATGGGGGCCACCCTCGCCCGGGCGGGCGGCGCCCTACCCGTGGCGAGGGGGGGTTCGGCCGGGCGAGGGTCATTTTCGGGGTTTCAAGGGCCAAACATTGGAAAAAAATAAAAATTTTTGCTTGTTTGCGGCGACTCGGTCCATTGGCGATGGGCACTTGGTCCATTGAATAATGGGCTTTGGTTGTCCTTTTGTCATTGCCGCTTCTTGGTCCTTGCAATTGGACCCCTTGAGTCCAAATGAAATTTTTCCAAAAATATATTATCATTTTCTTGAAAGAAAAACTTCCTGGAAAACATTTTCTAGAAAATGTCGCATTTTCCATGAAACAAACAAAGCCTAAGTAATAAATGGATTTTGCTTAATCTTTCAAAGATTGTCAATACTTAGGTCAGTATATAACAAGTCCCGTGGCGGTTCGCAAAATTACAAGTCCCCTTGCCCCTTAAGAGTTGTCTTCTTGTTTTGTCTCCAGCTCTGAAACCCCGCGCAGCCTCCATAAAAATTCTCAGTTAGTCCCACTCGAGCGAGTGGGATTGGTGAACAGGGAAATCCCAATATGGGCAGAAATTCGCGCTTCTTGTGGAGAAAGTTGATGTGGGCGACGCGCGGAATCGAAGCTCTGCGCGCAAATCCTCACACCGGAGCATCGCTTCAGCGGTCGCCAATCGCCGGAGCTTCGCTCACCCTCTCTCGTTTCTGTTCTACCGGTACAATTCTTGTGTGCATGCTTGCGTGCTGTAAATTCGAACGGCGCCATTTTAGCTGTAGTTTTTTAGCTCAGTTCAGTAAAAGATGATTGTCATCTTGTGCATTTCGAGCTTCCGCTCCTCGTATAGGTTTTGGTTGGCTTCTTGGGTGAGAGAGATCTTGTTGTGCTTCTTGAAAATTTGTGTGCTTTGTCCTTTTTTTTAAGAAAAAGTTGTTCAGATTACCTTTGACATTGGGATATGCTATCAAATGCTACTTGATGATCAATTGGGTCATGGAAAAAATGAATCTTGGAACTGTAGTAGTTGTTTAATTTCGCCATCTTTGTTCCTGTTCTTGTTCTGCTCTGTTTAGTCGTTTGGGTTCCATCCGCCATCACTTGTGGAAAGGTCATGTCAGATTATCTTTCTCTGGAGGAAACAGGCGGATTATAATTTGTCCATGTATATGTTTATTGCTCGTGGCAGGTTTTGTTTCTCTCTTGTCTTTTGGGTTCAATCTTTCATCTTCTTAACCATTTCGAGTGTCGAAATGCTTGCTCAACTCGCAGAAGTGCAACCCCATTTGTCACCCGATCTCATCAAGATAATGGAGCAACGGCTATCGGCAATTGAACATAGGAGTGCGTTTCTTCAGAATCTCATTAACCAGGTAACCATGTGATCCTTATTTTTTTGATGTCTTCCTTCCATACGTAGCGGTTTTAGCTTTTCAATGAACAATGTTTCCTGTGTTTATGCAAATGCTGAGTGCTGAGGCTGTTGTGGTTGGTCTTTCATTGATGATTAATTCTGTTGGTTGAAGACAGCCAGAAGCATCACCAACTGAATATTCAAAGGCTAATAAGGAGCTTCGGAAACTTAGGGACTCTATGGAGCTTATAAATGAGTTGAGGACGAAACAGAAGGTAATGAGTTACTGTCGAACTTACTGAGACATCTTCGGTTCTTCGGGCGCGTTTTCATTTGAAGCTTCTAGGCTTTTAGATAGATGATCAGCTATTGCTTTACACATGCCATTACATGGTTTGCCTTTTGGAGGAAAAAAAATGAGCAATACTATGGCTGTTTATTTATGCCAAATGCAAATTGTCCTCTTCCTCTTGATGCAGGAAATTGACGGTCTGAAGACCATGATGGATGAATATCTAGAAGACAGGGACATGCATGATATGGTAACTGAGGAATTGGACCAGGCTGTAAAAGAGGAGAAAAGATTGCAGCAGTTGCTTCTGAAGTCATTACTTCCTAGAGATGATGCCGATGAGAGGGGTTGCATTGTAGAGGTGAGAGCAGGTAACAGTTGTATACTTTATGGTGTTTCAATGCAGACTCAAGGGATTTTCATAGGGATCAACTTCACAAGTTGCTTGTTTAAATGTGTAAGCAGGAACTGGAGGTGAAGAGGCTTCCTTGTTTGCAATGGACATATTTAAGATGTAAGTTGAAAAGTTGAAAAGGAAAATCTCGGATTTTATAATTATGTGAAGTCTTAGATGGTCAGAACTCATCTTATGAAGAACCTGAATTTGGACAGGTATGAGAGATACTCACAAAAGAAAGGATGGAAATTTGAAGTAGTAGATATAACGGAATCTGATCTGAGAGGATACAAGGTATTGCATCCATAATTGGCCCTAGACACGTGATTTCCCATCTTCAGAGGTTGCACTAGTATATATGAGATGCACCACTTACATATTGATGCGGTTATATTTGTATATGTTTTATGCCAGGAAGCTAGTGCAGCAATTTCTGGTAATGGTGTTTATGGGAAACTCAAATTTGAGAGTGGGGTACACAGAGTCCAGGTATTACGTTTTGAGAGAGAGAGAGAGAGATTCATGGTGGCATATGGGTTTAAAGGCATTTTTCTGGTTGCAGCGAGTTCCTGTTACTGAGAAGTCTGGACGTGTCCACACCAGTGCAGTGTCCGTTGCAATCCTCCCTCAAGCAAATGAGGTCTAGTTACTTTCATTTTGACGGTGAAGGTTTTGTTACTAGGATTAGTTTCCCTTCTTTTCTATTTGGTAGCTTTGGGGTTTGAAAGAAGTTAGTTTATTGCAGTCGGCACTTATACAGTCAGGAATACATGTTGCACTTGGCACTTAAACAATCCATGTCTCTTACTAGCTTCTGTCTTCTTATGCATCAATTTCCTTGACCTAAAGCTAAGTAGTTGGGAGCTTTCTCTTTTGTTTTTCCATTTTTGTGATAAGTGTTGGGTTCTGCAGGTAGATGTGCAGTTGAGGAATGAAGACTTGAGAATTGATACTTATAGATCTGGTGGTTCTGGAGGCCAGCATGCAAATACCACCAACAGTGCTGTTAGAATAACTCATATTCCATCTGGCATGGTTGTGTCCATCCAAGATGAACGATCTCAACATATGGTAAAGAATTCTGACATACTGTAAATTCTGCTGAACTTATTTGTAGAAAACTTTAACGTAAATCTTGTCCTTTTGTTCCTCCATCCAGAAATTATGGCACTTTCTTCGATTCGAATTAATTTTCCGTCACTGAAATTTCGAGTTTCTTTTTCCCCGCTGATTTGGTAGCCGAAGGAAGCAATGCTCTTGACAAATCTTTTATGTATATGAATTCTGGCCAATAAACATGTTTTGCTCTCACCTCATTACGAAGTTGAAGCTAGTTTGATTGAGCCATCTAGTCATGCTACTTACTTCAGTCCCTCCTCTTCCCAATTTTTTGACAGAACAAAGCGAAAGCACTTAAGGTTCTGTGTGCTCGACTTTACGAATTGGAGAGATCCAGAATTCACTTGGATCGAAGCAGGCTTCGATCAGAGCAGGTATGCAGCAACCAGATGATGGACATTAACTTATCCATGGCGCTACTTTTTTCTTTTCCTTTGCAATGTGATTAAAGATTTACAACCTCGAACAGATCGGAAGTGGGGATAGATCTGAGAGAATCCGTACTTACAACTTTCCCCAAGGACGAGTCACGGATCATCGTGTTGGCATTACGCATCATGCAATAGATGATATGTTACAGGGAGAAATATTGGACGCCTTTATTGACGCACTTCTTTTGCAGCAGGAAATGGATGCAATTGCATCTTTCAGTTCAACGAGTGATCCTTAGTAGGGATTCTCTTGCTTGGAATTGTTCCTTTTTCAGACTTCTGTGCTATATTTTAACGTCAACCCATTTCAATTTGTCTTCTGTTTTTGGCCTTTTCTAACCCCTGTATCTACAAGGGCATTTAACACGTTATATTTAGCATCTGAGTCGATTGTGTTCTTACATTGTTAGATAAGAATATTGATTCTTTCATTACTGGGTGATTGGAATCTATTTGTTGTGAAGACTTTCTATTTGTTGAACAGATTTGATAGCAAAAGCAAACTTTGAGTTATGGTCTAAAGTGTTTACGAGGCACATTGAACCATCATCTTTCCATGGAGGGAATCAGAGCAGGCTTCAGCCGTGTATTTCTGATAGACAGTACTTTCTCTGTTTTAGAGAGAGCATCAGCTGCATAGGAATTGTTTCAAAGAGGATGCATAACCAGAAAGGAGAGAATTGTTAAATCGCTCAATCTAGAAATGATGTTTTCTTGATTCTTCTCCAAAAACAGATCGACAAAGTGGCTACTTCCTGGCATCTGCTTGGGCATGACCCTTATTAACCTTGTTGAGGAAGCCTGCCTTGCAAGCTTCCAAGTGTGGAAATTCCATATCTTGATGTATGCAGCTAAGGCTTTTCCTTTGTACACTTGGTCTTTCATTCTGCTGCAAGCATCTAAAATAATGATAAAGCTCGGAGCAATATAAGACATATATGTACCCCAATTCTCGATAGGAACTATGAATTAAGTAGACATGAGAAGAACATCGAAATCGCTGAGAGTCCACTCTGCCATTTCGTCCTTGTTAGTGATGAAAATCTCTGTGCCGACGTCAAGTGATGTCCAAATTCTTCTGGCACGAATAGTATCTGGATCCTGCAATTCAAAGATACATCATATATTATTAACTTTATCATTCTACAGTGAATGAAGTACTTCGACAAGCTTTGTGGTCAAGTCACACGCATCCTCCTATCAAAGGTGATTCTAAGAGAGTTCTTTTTATTCTTTGGCCTGTCAGATAATACTACTGACCTGATAGAAGTAGAGTCGGCTCGATAGGCCACCGACATCGAGCTCCCAAGTTCTTCCATCACCGATCCAACCATCGCCTTGTTTGGTTGGATACCCGTATTCAGCCCACGCAGGGTGAGGCAGCAACTGAACAAGCTCTTGTGCCTGGGGATTGCTATAAGGATCACACGTGCTCGTGGGACTCTCCAAAAACTTAGCATTCCCGGGTGCACAGTAATAGTGATAAGCCGAGTAGGGAAAATTATTGGTGTCATTCCTGTGAATCTTTTTGTTATCTAGCGTGATGTGGTACGGCGGGCAATTGGCTAAACTCGTGGGGCTGCACCAGGACGGAGTCTCCGGGTTGATGATCATCTCACTATACCTCGTGACGTCGGTGAGCACGTCCCCGTCGCACGGTTTGCCGTTGTTCTTCCAGCAGCTGCCCATGTCTATGAGGTAGAACTGGCTCTTGGGGCCTCCACCACTTTTGATGTCCAATGTCAATCTAACCTTGAAATTTGGTGACTCTGGAAGCTGAAAGGAGTAACTCCATTATTTTATCATCTGTGTCTAATTATCATACAATATAAGGAAATAAGCCGGTATGTTTATTGTACAGAGCAGAGCAAAACCTAATCGGCAACATTTTCTGGGTCTTAGAGTCTACATATAATAATAGGGGAGGACTTTATGATCAAATGAAAATGACAGTAACCTTTTCAAAACGAAGAGGATAGAGAGGAATAGTAGTTGAACAACGCTACACCAATCCAATAACCACCAACTCAGCGACTTTAAAAGATCATATGAAAACTGAAGCCTCTTTCTTTGTCAAGCATAATTGCTGATGCTTTGCCTGCTCAGTTGTTCTATTAGATTATGAATCTTTGATCTTCATACCTGATTTGTTAGAAGCACTGAATCCCTCCGCATCATTAGATTTCTCTCTTTCATAAAAGGAAAAGTCACTCAAACCTTGAATTACGACCGCCTCCGTAACTATGACAGAACATTTGCTAAAATGAACCAGAGGAAAATATAAGTTTAAGTCTCCGAAGGTCAAAAAAGACTTACAGTTTTGAGCATCCCTCTGGTGTCATAGTGATACCCACCAGAGAAACCTTTGGTTGCATCAGCTCTGAGATACAGCATCAGCCATGGATACTTCTTTGAAGTCTTGAGCTTGTGATGGAATACCCAACTCCCTGCACCGATCTTCTTCTCCCAAACCACTTCATAGAAAGAGATACTATCTATACCATCTGTGACGTCCGCACCCAGTTCGTAAGTTCCATTGAAACCTCCTCTCATCGTACCGTTTCCTAGAATCCGAGTCTGCTGATGATTCAGAATGGGTTGGTTCATACACCCGATTCCAAAGCACGGAAATTTGTTTGGACTAAAAGGAGCCGCTTTTTTCCCATTTTCAGGACATAAGCCAGAGTTTGTGTCGTAGTTGCCATTTTTTAACATGATCATCCAAAATTGCCACGGTTTCGGGGTGTCTTGGACTTCGCAGAGAGAACCCAAATAAAGCTCCTTTTGTGCAGCATAGAGGTCTGCATTTTTTAGGACGTCTGTGCTTATACCAGGGAAAGAACTGCCGATTCCTAGTCTGTTATCAACCTCTGTGACCTTGTGTCTCAGAGTAACATCTGCATCTACAAGAATAAGGATTTAAATTTATCCGGATTAGAGTGAAGCAATGAGCATAAGTAGCAAATGAGATCCGTCAGAAGTAGAAAAACGAAAAGTAAATAGAGCAAAAGGGGCATCCCCAGTCACCAAGTTGTAATTAGAAAGAAAAAGTTTGGTCATTATTGTATTGTTTATTCATTCTGTTAAACAATTAGCTGGTTGGCTAAAGATCTTTCAGCATACGATGCACTGGAAGTTGGCTTGTGAAATCCTTAACCTCATGCATTCGGAAGTTAGTGAGAACTCAAGTTGCTTGTCCTCTAGGAAAGCAAGAAAAAGGAAATTTCCCTTCAATAGAGGCGTTTATCAACATTTATCAAACAAGTTACCGAATGGCTCTGCTTTGTTTCCAAAACAGAAAAAGAAACTGAAAGGAAAAGATAAAAAAGGCAAAATTGTTCTGAATCTGCAGATGACAAACCATTTGTCATGGAATGACCTTGTTCCAGCATTTGTAAACAAAATGCATCAGCACATGAAACATGTTGAACAAAAATTCCCTAAACAAACACATAAGCGGGATAGAGATAGGGACTCACTTTTGTGGAATCTTGCACTTCTCCTGTGTCTGTGTCTGCCTGAGATGTCAAAACAATCAGCTGCTCTTGGACTCCCCATACCAGGAGCTTCAATGCCAACTTCATTGCAGAAATTCCAAGCTTCGAAGGCGACTCTGAGACCATCTCTTCTCATTCCAGGATCACCAACTGCAGATTCATATCGAGCCACAGCTGCGACAGGACCAAGAAGCAATATCACGCTTCCGACTAAGAGCGTGATGTGCCAACTCGAGTGCCTCTTCATGGCCAAAAAAGTTACCACAGGTCTTTGGTCTTGATAGAAGTGAGCAGAGAAGAGGATGATGCTTATATATATGTAGATGGAGTTGAATATGGAATTGGGTAACATGGGTATCGTCACTTATATTAGTGCATGTTGTCCTCTCTGTCCCATGTATCATCTCATCATTTTAATACAATTGAATATACTGTGGGTTTTGAGTTTTGTTATCACTATATTTTGAGTAGAGTCAACTGTTGTCCCCCTGCTGGATTCCATCGCGATTTCACTACTCGCTAAATGCTTGATTCAGATGAAGGTTCGGCATCTCTCGACTTTTGTCAAGTTGAAACAGTTGAACCCCCGCAGCTCATAGGACTAAGTTTTCTTATGCTCGATTCGATCAAACAAAATATAGTTTCCAAGCCCTTAGATATGCTGATAATTTAGCGAAGTCGAGTCTAGTCCTGCGTGAATGAGATAGTGTAGATTAGTCCAATCGACCTCAGGCTCCACAAATTTAAGTACGGAACTTCAGGAATGAGTCGGTCAAGTTCGAATAGTAGACGGTGTCGATTCGAATCTATTGACATTTATTCTTCTAGGAAAAGAAAAGAAATGCCAATTTCATTTTCTTCCTCGCTGCATCATGTTCTAAAGATGGTTTTGACTTCTGCTGCCAGAAAGGCACGACGTAACCACGAAAGGAGTAGGTCGTTTCTTGGTGAAATTATTGGCCCTCCAAATCAAATTATTAGTAACATGTGGGGTCTTAGTCAAAGGGCATAAATAGCAAAACGAATTTCTCACATTTCTATATTTGTTTATTTGTACATTTCATTAGTCCTAAAATTCGGTGAGCCAGGCTTATCGATTTGATTAAATCAACTTGATCTAAACCAGTTCTCCTGCATTTGGCTTAGTCCGTTAGAGAGTGATGGAGCAGATCTTTGTCTTGTACTCTTATTATAGTCCTTCTTCGTTTCTTGCGGTATTTCTCATTTCGGTTGAGAATTTTTGGATCATGTATATGAGCATAAAATCTTTTACGTCTGGTACATGTTTGAGTTACACGATATGCAAAAATCATAAGACCCATTTGTCCATGATCGAAGTAAGCGATATTGATTTGGTTAATTCCCTTCTAATCACATCACAGATGAATCTTCTCAATGTGGATTACATGACAGTAATACTAATAGTTAAATACTCTGGTAAATGAATGACATTGTGTATTGGGAAAGAAATGTGAATGGATAGAACTTTTGATCATGGTCTGGGAACAGATGAGGGGTTAGGTATTGACTGATGACAGATGAAAACCAGATGGGGATAAGAAGACTGGATATATGGGGCAAAGATACTGAGTCACGAATGGTCAAAAAGCTGCATCCGGATATCAAGAAACGCGTCGGTTCCAGCACGAGGTGATTCACTCGAGGACGAGGAAATAGTTTCCCGTGTATTATCTGGTCTCGATGCGGATGCTTAACTGGCAAGCTGCCCGAAACACGAAATCTAAGCGAGGATATACCAGTCCATCAGGTAGGCTATTAATTTAATGTTGATCTCTTCACTGCCACATATTGCTTGCTTAGCAAAAACAGGAGGCACAAGTACATGTTTTACTTACTTTTGTGGGCACCTTGTTTCTTATTTGGTGTCATGGATGTATTTGGTGCCTCGGTGGGGTTGTTTGTTAGGAGTTGTTTTGTGTAGAGATTGGTGCTATGACGTCTGCCAACCTTTTTCCTCCGGATTTGCTGGATTTTCAGCTGCCCAGCTTGCATGCAAAAACAAGGAGTCAAAAGGTGACGGGGACATATGGTTTCCATTTGCAGCAGACAGTGAAGCCGGTTCTATGGAAAACCTTTCTTTCTTGGGAGTCGCTAATTTACCAAACATTGTTGGTGGGACCGGGAATTTTCATTAAGTGACGATCCTTGGAAGGTCCACTAATGATGAGAAAAAACAAATTACTCAAAAAGACAATTCAGCATGAGCTCTAATGAATCTATTAATCCTGTTTGCTTCTGTGGTCTGCAACTCCAGTTGTTCTTGACCTTTTATTAAAAGACCATTGCTTTCTATTGTTTTTAAGTTTCTTCTACTAGTTGCTGCAGCTGCATTATTCGCCCCACATCCCTTAAACATTTACCCGCAATGCTTTCCTATGGCAGAATGAGTCTCCTGATAAAGGTTATACCATAGCAAACCAGATGATGAAAGGATATGACTTCCATAGCAATAACCAGATAAAAGGATATTAAAAAGACGCTATCAACTGAAGCATCAAGTCTCCTCCAATAATACTGTCCAATTTCAATGTCATTTACAAGCAAAGAGAATTAGCGCAGACAGATATAGCATTTCTTCAGATTCTGATCTTTGATCTGTAGCACTGACGGAGGGAAAAGATGCTCTCCTTTCCATTTCTGATTGTTATCTTTCACCTAGAGAATCGTCGCACATGTACACTTAATGCATATGTACAGCTTTTGCCACAAGAATAACATGCCTTGTAAAGGGGATCAGATTTGCAGGACCTATTAATCTTGCCAAAGACAATGTTTGGGTTATCTTTCGCGTATTCATCCCTCACCCATCTTGCAGAATGGAGCAAGTATTGCGCTAATATTCATGGTCAAATGAAATCTTCCCCTGTTTTTTGTCATCATAGGTGATTGTCCAAGAGATCCGGGAGTGTTATTTTTCCAGAGTTGTTTCGATCAAGCTTGCTGAACTGATCACATATCTGTAATATGTCCATCTCGCCAATCTTCTCCATTTCTTTCAGCTTGTATATAACATACTCTGATTTACTGCACAATACAGCAAATTGTAATCTTTAACATTAATTATCGCCGCCAGTCTAGGACGAGAAACATTTGATCTGCATACACTGCTTTGGCCAAAAGCAAAATTTTGATTAAATAGCATAACATCTTCTGAAGAATATTTAATAACTTCTCGCCAAATCAGGAAATCTACACATTGAAAGGACATACTTACCAAGATAAGCCTTCTACCTATAAAAGAGGTAAAATACCTCTCTTGATTTTCAGCAAGGATATGTGCAGTGAACAGAAAAGGCTGTATATACGTATACGTACAATGAGAGGATAGTTCACAAAGAAGCTTTTGCAGAAGGTTATGCACCATTCTGTTTGAAATTATGCATCCATCTCTTCGCAACTAACAAGGCAAATCATCCTAGTTCTAGTTTATGCTCTTTTGACGGAGAGCAACACCTTTAAATTTTGAAGTGTGCTTCTAAAATTCCATCTTAAATCGCGGTAACACGAATGCGTATACTTTTATGTAAACATGAATAGATAGTGAATAACTAACGCAACCTCAAGTAATTATCTCGTAAAATCAGAACACTTTCGAGTCAACTTTTAAGGAAGACTCAGCACTGGACAACACTTCAGCAAGCACTCGCGGAGCTAAAGCTACCTGCCACATAAAGCACTCATGTTCACCATTGTCTCATTAAGAAACAAATTCGTTGGATGATTGATTTTAGATCTCAAATTGTGAAATGCTTCTTTCTAATTTATGTTGACAATCTCTAATCCAACTCATCTGCGGCTGCAATGCAGCTATCGTATTAATTTCACTTAGAAACTAAACAAACCAGTCAACACTTAACACCTAGTTACTTACTAGAAACTAACAGAAGGAGCTGGAATCATGCATCCTACCTGATGAAGCCGTTGTTGTTTAAATCGGCTGCAAACAAATCCTCGACAGTGACATCCCTCTGCAACACCAGCTTCGAAAGCCTCCGGTGCCTCTTATCAATCCTAGCCTCGGCCAGATAAAGAAACGCCCTCGCGACCACCAGCGTCGAGAACAGCAGCCAAACTGCGGCGAAGAGCCGCCCCGGCAAAGTCTTGAAGGCCCTGTCCCCGTACCCGACGGTCGTGACGGACATAACCGCCAAATAAACCGAGTCCAACCAATCCAAACCCTCCACAAAGCAGAGCACCAACGAACCCATCGCAATGCACAAAACCACCACCCCAAGTGCCAAACCCACCTTTAACCTGATCCTCATCCTTCCCTTCTCGACATCGACGATGTAATTCACGGCACCAGACCCTCCCCTCTCGCCACTCAACCTTGCATTAGTCAGGATCATTTTCTCCTGCAAATCGAGCGCGAAATTCACAACCCCACCGAGCAATATGTCTATGAAACCAAAACCCACCAACACAAACACGCAAGCGAAGGCCTTGGTCTCGGGGGTCAGGGGGGCTATGTCCCCATAGCCTATGGTGCACATGGTGACGATGCAGAAGTACAGAGCGTCCACAACAGGGTGCGTCTCAACGCCTGAGAAATGGTCCCTATTGAACGCGTAGATGCCCACACCGAGGAAGAGGTAAACGCAGAGAAAGAAGAGGCCCTGCCCGACGACGGATCCGGACCCGGGCCTCGGATTCGGGTCGCGGGTCGGGGCCCCCCTCTCGAGGTCTGTCACCACGGCCATCGCCGGGGCTGTCCTGCATCGGTGGAGGCTCTGCTTGCTCTTGCTGCGGAATTCGGCAAACGGGTGCGAGAATGCGTGGTCTTCAACGATTTCTTCAAGTTGGGGCCCCGTGGGGGAGGCGAGAAAAGGGTCCTCCTCCATGCGCCCGTGGGAGCGAAGGCCAAAAGAGCACGGACGAAATGGCAACGCTTTGTCGTGTTCCGTTCTTGAAGGAACCATGGTGGGGCCAAAGGGGAGAGAGAGAGAGAGCTGTGGGGGACGCTTCCGGAGGTCGGATGGAGAGGGGCCCTACTGGAGCAGGGTGACGAGGATAGAGAGTAGGAAGAAGGTGACGTGCAAAGGTACTACCGTGTTTGGGGTGTTTGGAGCTTCGTTTCGTCAATGGTAATCCGCGCAAGGTCGCTGCTGTCTTATCCGGTGGTCCTTTGTGGCCCTAGTTGGCTGGTTCAGACCACCTTCTTTTTCAAGGTATAGAATATGACGCACGGTCATGTTTTTTCGCGGACATCTTTCAACGACTTCGAAGTTAAGCATCTTGGCTTGGAAAAGAACCTATGAAATCTAACGGACAAACCCGCCGGTCAAACCTATGAAACTCCGTCTTGGCCAAAAGAAAAAAAAAAAAGAACAGCGGCGAAACAGATCCTTGCTTAGCCAAGGTTCTCTGTATCTGCATCTTCCTCGTCGTCCTCGCAGAGAAAGTTCCCGAAGACCTCCCTCGGGGCCTACGATGGAATGTTGCTGAGGCGGCGGAAGCACCTGCAGCGGTCCTTCAGCTTGCCAATGAGGCCCTTGTCCCCCACAAACTCAAGATGATTTGAAATATTTCAACTTGAGTTTGGAGAATAGATCCAAGAAACGCCTAGGTGAATGTGTTTTGGTGAAAACATCAGCAATTTGTTCAACAGATGAAACAGAGACAAGTCGAACAATGTCACGAAAAGGTGATATCGGATGAAATGACAATCTGTTTCAATGTGCTTAATGGAAAACAACATTATATGCAATTTGGATAACACTTCGGTTGTCATAATGAATAATTGTTCCACTGTGATGATGCACTCTCATGTCTTCTAATAGCCACCGTAACTATAGTAATTCCGATGTCCTATTAGCAAGAGCTTGATATTCTACTTATGTGCTAGATAATGCGACAGTGATATGTTTCTTGTTACGCCATGAGATAAGCGAGTCACCCAAAAAGAAACAGTAGACCGTAGTGGTGCAACGATCTTGAGAGTTGCCAGCCCAGTCAACATCGGAATAAGCTTTCAACTCCAAGATAGAATAAGCATAAAAGTGAAAGATTAAATTCAAAAAACTGCAGCAAAATGAGTCATACCAGGCACGGTAATGAACTAATTAACAATGTGAACAACATAGGCGATGTCAGGATAGGTAATAGTGAGATATATAAGACCATCGACCTGCTACCGATAAAGTGTAGGATTCGTAAGAAGAGTTTCATCCTTGTCATTGAGTTTGGCATTCAACTCAATGAGAGTGGAAGCAATTTGATTAATAGTGGGGCCAACTCGAGAAATAAGGTTAGTGGCATATCTTGTTTGGGAGAGATAATAAGCAGAAGCATCAAACACAACTTCCAAGCCTAGAAAATAGCCGAGTCGCCCAAGATTCATTCGAAATGTTTATTGAGATATTGCTGGAGTTTTGCAATGCTAGTCTGATCATCGCTCGTAATAATCATATCATCCACATAAACAAGTAGCATAATATACCATCAAGGTGAGAACACTTAGGCATGTTCTTTTGGATGAAAAATATATTGTCGAAGAACATTTTCCTCATTTTCAACATTTGGATCGCTTAGGAAAATGATCAAAGGAAAAATATTTTCATAATCAACGAAAACTGACCATTTTCTAAAATACTGCTGGATCCCAACGCTTGGGCTTGGGACCCCGAGACTGAACCAGGGAGGTCCATGGCGATTGGTGTAGGGTCCCTTGTGGCCGGGCCCACGATTCAGCCCTAATTCAGGTTTTTGAGATTAAATTCAAGACATTTTCATAAATGCGTGTTTAATAATTTTCCTTAAACAAACGTCAGAAAATGGCTTTCTCAAACTTGAAAAACATATGAAATGAAATCCTTTTCCCTAAAAAATTTCCTATGAAATTTTTTTTCTAGCAAAGTTTATTTCCAGTAAACAAACAGGCTTAATAGGTTAGTTAACAAATTAAGACTAGTCAGAGTACACTTTTCTCCTATTTTCTCTTATTCATAACTATTCCCCCTTCCATCTATCTTCTATATTTTCTCAATCGAAAATAATTTTTTAACCGAGATTTTAAATTGTAAGGGTAGCAGCAAAATAATAAAAGATAATGTTATCCATCAACTACTTCAGTAACTTATCCTATTTGGGAGTCCTTGCTAATCTATCGGAGCCCACCGAGGGCCAAGTGGAAAATGGGAGGCCGTTACACTCTATAGAGATTTTAGGGTTTAGGACTTGGTTACACTAATTTCTAAATTAGTGCACTTTCGGTATCTAATATAGTTTTGTTTGTCTCCTAAGTGATTCATGCGGTCATGTTAAAGTATAAGTCTTTTTTGTTTTTTTATTATGTGCCCATGTATGGGTTGATTGGAGAGTGAACTCTACACATCGATACAAACTAGAAGAAATGAAAGCATGGAATGAATCATAGAGAAATCAACACGTCACATAAAGCGAAAGAAATAAACAACGATGAAATGAAAATGCGAGAATATGAACCTGATACGAGTTGGGTAAAAAAATATCATATGCCCTTGTTTTTAAGCCACTGGACATGATCCTCATGAGCTTGTTTATTGAATTCAAGCCTTATAAGAAAGAGGCTAATCTACTTAAGTTAACCGAGGAGGGTTTTGATTATATAATCCTATTAACTATTTGAAGACAAGCTATTCTAAAGCACATGGAAAGGATCATATGCCTATCTAGTTTATTTGAGCTAAAAGACAATCATTTTTTGCTTCAAAAATTTATTTCCTAAGCCATAGTACTAAGTCTACATCTAAGTGAAATTATTTAGCTAAGTCTATTCATAGATAGATCCAAGACTACCCAAGCTACACAATAAGACCTATGAAAGTAAGAACTATTCCAATGACCCCTAGATCAACCGAGGCCATCCAAAGATAACAGTGAATAATCAACAACATAAAAAATCAACACTTCATCAATCAACCATTCAAAAATGGACATCGATGGAACCATCACATAAGCATCTCCGGCGGTTGGCACGGAAGAGATTACTATGGACGATTCACTCAAACCCATTCCCCAACTGTGATTACCCCATTACATGTCATTAATCAAATGGAAATCTATAGCCCGTGCACAACTCTCATGACAACACATTGACCCATTTGAAGATTCCAATATAAGCGCCCCTCTACTAAATGCTAGAGACCCGCCGATAATCACATGCATCTCAGACAATCGATCAAATCGGTTTTGTGTCAAAATCAAATCCAAAATCTACATGGTAAAGGAACGTCACAGATCATGAGCCCAGCATCACAAAGCAAGAACAAGGAATGGGCTCAACTTATCAACCAACATCTACAACCCAATTCGGACTAAGGCCTTAACCTTCAGTTTACCGGCTTTTGCGATTTAGTCCTAGCCCAATCTAATGTGGCTCAAATTTGGTGAATCATACATAATTAAAAAGCTTAGGATGACTATTTTAAGTTCCTCGTTGACAACTTTTTGAGATAAAGCCCACATTTTCTTAAAATTAGGGATTAAACCCAACTAGTCAGACTGAATTATGGCCTTAGTCCAAATTGAGTTGAGATAAAGCCCACGTTTTCTTAAAATTAAGCATTAAGCCCAACAAGTCAGACTGACCCTGCATCTAAATCAAAACAGAAAAATTACCAAAATAGTCATAAACATATTGTAATTGTGCCAATTCAGTCCTAAACCGTTTGCATTTGTGCCAATTCAGTCCATCCGACAAATTTTGACTAGCCGGCACTAACGTGGATGCTGGCCGGCTGGCCAACACCGACGTGGCCGGCCAACCTGGCAATTTTTTAATATATTTCAAATTTTTTTCCTTTCTTTGTTTTTTTTTTTTGGCCTAGGGCTCGCCAATGGCGTAAGGTAGAGCTCGCCATGGACGGACGAGCTCAACCTGCTCCTTAAACGCGAGGTCGAGCCTCGCCATGGTTGTGGCCGAGGTCGAGCTTGCCCAACCATGGCGAGCTTCGCCTCGCCGTAGTTGGGCAAGGCTCGCTCACCCATGGGCGAGCTTGACCTCGCCCAACGACGGCGAGAGTGAGCCTCCCCTTGGCCGATCGGGTCAGGGGGAAGAAGGAAAGGAAAAATAAAATAAAAAATTCGAAAAAAATTTAAAATAATTTTAAAAAATTGTTACGTTAGCGTTGACCGCTCGACGTCCACGTCAGCGCTGGCTGGCCAAAATTGGCCTGATGGACTAATTTTGCACAAATGCAAAATGTTTAGGACTAAATTGGCACAATTACAAGAGGCTTGTGACTGTTTTGGTAATTTTCCCAAATCAAAACTTTGCAAGCCTACTTGACCTATCAAACCAAACTAAAAAAGTATGAAATTTATATGGTTGGAAAGCTCATTAAATCCTCTCCAAATTTCTAGTTTATCACTTTCTTATAGTGGGCCCAACTATTTATGAAATTTAATATTTAGCCCAAGGGACTCCGGCCCTGAAACGGGCCCAATTTGGAAATGGTAAATGCAAGCCCTAGATAACAAACCAAAAGACATCGAGGTTTAATAATCCCCGATCAAATTGAATTGAATAACAAGAAGCGAGATTGGATTGAATAACAAGACACAATATAACACCTAAGAGGAAATCAGTTCTAGATAAGTGAAAAACGAAACTCATTTGGCCAAATCGCAAACATAGGCAATCAAATGGCTCAAGGGTAGCAACTAAACAAGAATAAAACATCATCTACTCATCTAAATTTCTACCCATAATGAAAGATGGCGGATTGGAGGATGAGTACGTAGTGTTCCAAGGAACGAGCTGAGAAATGCCGAGAGCCGAGGCGAGCTGTGTTGGTGAACCGTAGGGGTGTCAGAATCGAATCAAAAAACCAAACCGAAACCGAAACCGAACCGAAATTTTGTGCATTTTCGGTTCGGTTCGGATAATGAGAAAACAACCATTTTCTTTGCCAGTTCGAATTCTTTTCGGTTTGGTTCAGTTTATAAACCAATCCGAACTGCCAAAACTTAATAACCCTATATCAAATCTCGTTCTGTGGCTTTCATTCTTCCCTTTGTCAACTCCTCAGCCTCTCTACAACCCTAAATTGAGAAGCGAGAGGGAGGAATTCATTTAAAAATGCCACATCAGCATTTTCCTTTAGATAAATTGACGGTGTTAACTTTAGGATTTGTTTG